ATTTATTTAATATAATAATTTTGAATTATATTTTAAATTACAATATTATTTTATTTTTATAATAGTATTTCAAAATTGCAACTTTAGAAATAAGTACAGCAAAGCTTCCAACTCTTAACCAAACCATTCCTGTCTATGATTATTTATTTGAAACTATCACAGAATTTCAAAAAAAAAATCTTCTAATATTAATGAGGCTACCAATTTTGCTTTATAAAAATTAGAAGATTATTATTCAAATTCAGATGAACTTGTTTATATAATTGCAACAAGTATAATTTTTTTTTTTTACGATTTATAACTTTTATTAAAATTTTAATAAATTAATTTATATTTATACAATTTTGGATCCTAGATTAAAATTAACATATTATAAAGAAATAATATTGATAACAGATATATTAAAAGTTATAAACAAAAAAATAACTAATTTATGGAATAAGAAATATAAACCCACTGGCAACAAAGAAATAGATAAATCCTCATTTAAACTTAATGCTTCATCTGTTCATATTTTTAAAAAAAGAAAAATTATATATACTAATGAATTAAGTTCATATTTAAAAGAACTTCCATCAAATCATAATACAGATATTCTAATGTATTGAAAGGCAATGGTTTAAAAATCAGAATTGAATATTAATATTGAAATTTTATTTTATTATATTATTTTAATTTTTAATTCATATTGCTTCATGAGACTGAATTATAAATTCCTGGTATATTTTTTAATATTTATTAAATTAATTTCTTAAAATTTATTTTTTTAAATTTATTTTATTTTAAACAGGAAGAAGTGTTCCAGTTGAAAGAATATTTTCAGGTGGTACTGTGGTGGTCTGCCCAGAACAAAAAGTAAAGTTACGTCAATCAGTCCCACTAAATTGAACTCTTGTCACACCCCTTTTCATACTAACTTAACATACTCTTGTACACAATATTTTGTAACACCCACTATCTACCAGTAGGATCAAGTAGTCACTTGCCTACTTGCAACAAACATATATATAAAATAAACTCTAATGCAATACACACAGGTGTGATCTGAAGGTACGTGAGTAAGTGGAGTAAAAGTATCCTTTTATAGCTCACTACACAAACTTTTGAACCTTAGCTTCAGACTTTATTCAGTAACTTTATTCAAGAAATTACAAATTTAGTAATAGAGGTATTACGGGCTGTTAACCATTTCTCACCTATATTATTAAAAATAACAATAATTAGATTTTGATATTAAAAGAAAAAACATGAAAAGGAATATCAATGATAAGGAACATTTTCCTACCCAAAATAAGGTTAAAGTATGGTTATTGGAACAGCTGATTTAGTGAAAATGAAGATTATTCAGAAGATTATGACCGTTGATCCCTCAAGTTAAAATCAAATATTACATATCCTTTAATGTAAGTGTAATCTACCCCATGAGGATTAAAACGTTCTAATTATATCCAATACAACTATTTAATATCATGTTAATTTAGTTTTAGTTCTATATGAAAGACCATGGCTTTTTTACTTCTTTACTTCCCATGAAATCAGCAACAAGGATAAGGAAATTTAGAAATTCTAGTGCAAAGAAAAAATAGATGGTTTGTTAAGAATTATCCAAGATCAAGAAAAGCAACAAATATTTAGTGTTAAAAATAATATTATTAATAATAGTAGACGAAGGAAGGTTTGTTTTGTGAATATTTCATATTTTATGACTTTTATGTTTTATATTATAGTAATTATATAATAATAATTTTCATGTTTAGAAATTTAAAATTATGAGCTAAATATTTAATATATGGAACAAGATTTTAGACCGTTTGAAGCAATTTTATTGTTCATATAATGATGATATCATTCTATTATGTCATTATAGTTTATCGGTAATATTATAATGTTAATTTTAATAATTGTATTAATTCTTTTGACTTGGTAAGCTAATTGCTATCGTATATTGATCATTTTGTGTAATATCAATAGGCAAAAGATTTTTATGAATTGATTTTCTGCTAGTTGAGTTTATTAACTTTGAATTATTCTTTGAATATAGTGGTTGCTCCTCAATTTGGAAATTAGAAATAGGTTAATAATAGGTTTATATAATTAATATTTAATTAATAAATACGTTTTTTATTATTTATGCATTATTTAATATGTTACTTATTATTATACGTTATTTTGTATGTTATTCAGTGAATTGTAGCATTTCGAATATGTAATATATAGGCTTAAATAAATTTTTTTTAAAAAACATAGTATTATAGTGATATATTATTGATGTTATTTATTTTGCTAAAATTTTAGGTCAATGTAATTATTATCATCAAACATCAAAAATAATAAAGGTTCTACGCTGTAGATGCTGAATTGAAAATAAGCATCTACAAGGCAGACTCACTGTTTTTGAATACCAAATAACCGAACTTGAAAAAGAAAACCAGCAATTACAAAAGATCATAGCTGATATCAAACTTGAAAGCATGATTCTCAAGGCTGAGGCAACTGTTCTTAGGGACAGAAAGGATTGAAATGCTTCTCACATTAAAAAAAATGATTGAAAAGATGAAGACTGAATGCAGATGGCAGCGCAGAATGTCAATATTTTAAGATAAATAACTCAAAAAAATATGTTAAAAGTTGCTTTTTTTTAATTATCTTTTAGAATATCTTTCTTTTTTTTAATCCGGGGTTATTGGGGCACATGGCATTAAGGCCACCCCGGATATTTTTATTTATATTTTTTTCTCATTTTTTTTTGATAATCTGGGGTTTTTGCGGCACATAGCTTTAAGGCCACCCCGGATATTTTTATCATATATATATATTTGATTTTTGGTTATTGGGAACATGGCTTTAAGGCCACCCCCGGATATTTTTGGTTTATATTTATATTTTAATTTCTATTTTTTTGGTTTTTATTTTTTTGTTTTATATTTTATTTTTTTTTTTTTTTTTGGTAATTCGGGGTTATTTGCACATGGCATTAAGGTCACTTCCGGATATTTTATATTTCTTTGTAGTTTATTTTATTTTTGCTATATTACCATAAAAATGGTCAATAAAAATCGTTTAAAATCATACACACTTTATATTATTATTATTATTTTATATACAATAAATTATTCATAAAATTTCATTTCGCATATGATGTTGAATTAAATCATTCCAAGCTGTTTTTCAAGTATTTTTTATAGGGCTTTCCTTCTCACCCAAAAATCCTCATCATACTTAAAAGAATTTCGTTCATTTATTTAAAAAACTTTATTTGAATAATTTTTTGTTCATCCAAATAAAGATGTCCACGCAGACAGGATATATCCTTATTAATATTTATACACGAAAATTCGATCGATCCTAAATTAATAGGTGTGGACAAAAGCAAACATGTTATGACCTAGAAAATCATGCGAATATGGTGTCAAAAAAAAGCCCAAACTATTTATTTTTCCGACGATCGAAATTGTAAATGTTGTGTCGCAGAAAATAGATAAATATGCATTAAATATTATTCATCAAATGAGGAAATTGATGTTTTTTTATGTTGTGTTATTCTTAAAAAATATATTAGAGTGTTTCACATTTCAAAAAGTTCGAATATAGTATTTCCAATTTCGGATCTAAGCTAACTATGTCGGCCGAATAGACTAGAAATTAGTCATTGATCTTATTAAACTAACCAGCGAAGTCTCCTTTTTTATTCTTAATATATACAACTATAAAAAAATGAAAAAGATTCTCTATTCCTTTAAAAATCAGATGCGAAAACGATTTGTCTCAATATAATAAGTCCATGCCGATCACATCTGAATTAGCAATTAAATTTAGATATGGAATTTCTTTTTCCTTTCTTTTTAGTTCAAACTAAATTTCATGTGTTCATCTTTTAAAAACAAATTTTTAATCATTTTTTTTTTTTTGCTTAATGAAATAATAAAGGGTTAAAATAAAGCGAGAATAAGAGAGAAATAGAATTAATAGGATAAAACGAGAGAATATTAGATATAGAAATTTAATTATGGTGACAAATGAAAAGGTTCCAGTTTTACAAGGAATAACTCAAAAAATAACAATAGGTTTATTTATAATTTTTTTATTTTGGAATTTATTCACTTATCTCATATATGATGGAGAAATAACCAATTCTCCAAAGTTAGAAGATAGTGTACAGATCATTACATCAATTGATATTATCACACCAACAAATGTCATAAAATTAACTCAAGTCATCCAACAAGAGTCACCATCTGCATCCCTCGAAGCTGTCGTTACATCGACTAATTTCATCACCAAAACCAAGATCAAAACTAAGTTTGTAAGTATCAATTAATTAATTAATTTGAGAATATATTTAGCAATATAATAATAATAACGTTTACGAGATGATTATGATATAATAATTCAAATTATTATATAATTTATTTCAAATTAACACTTTATCATGTTAAAAAAAAATTTATTATTACAAAGTATTGAATTAAATATTTTTAATATAATATCGAATTAATAATAATAACTATTATTTATCATACCTACGTTTTTTTCACTTCGTTATTTAGGCTACAAAGACGTTGGAAATTTCAAAAAGTTCAATCAAGGTGGATCCCCAGTTAATCGAAAAGATGCAAGAAACTTTAATCGAGGATCCAGATCATTATGAAAAACTGGATAAATTAATTAATCAGAAATATTGTTACTCGATCAAATGTAAATTCCTATTTCCTTTTCATCCACCTGAACAAGAAACACAATGTAATAAACATTTCCTTTCGTCTATTCAATTGGCTGAGAAAATAAATCGTACAGTGGTATTGACCAATGTTGGAAATTCAAGAATTTGGCAAACAAAATTATTTCCATTTAATTTTTATTATGATGTGGACGAATTAAGAAACCGATTCCCGAATGTAAATTTCATCACTCAAAAAGATTTTCAAGATTGGTGTAGGGAGAGATATAATAAACCTAAAGCGTATTTTGCCAAAATCCTTAATGTTGAACCTAAATTTACAGTAAAATATTTATCACCATTTAGTGGTAGTCTCTTAGCTAAATTACAAAGGAAGGATAAATTTTATGAATACGATTTCATATTTAATAATAAATCCTTATTTCGACAATTTAACATAGGAACTCGTAGAGTATGGAGAAAAACTCGAGAAAAAAATTTGATGATAAAATTCTTTCAAAAAGAATTAAATGTGGAAGAAGAAGTAATGTTAATAACTTCTGGCCTTCAATCACCATCATTTGAAAAATTAATTCCTATTTCATATGCGAAACATTTGGTTAATTCAGCTAATAAAGTAATTAAGAATCAATTAAATGATAGATTTATAGGAATTCATTGGAGAATGGAAAGAGGTAAAATCGAATTAATGTCGGATTGTGCTCATAGATTAGTAAATTATATAAAAAATTTAACGGATTCAACGGGAATAGATAAGATTTATTTTGCAACGGATTATCCAATATCAAGAAATTCCAGTCAAGCTCAATCGGATACATTTCATCAAATATTACCAGAACATCGAGAAGCGTTTAGAATAGTAACAGAAGGAATTAATGTTGAAACATGGCTATCAACATCAGCATTAGAATATTTACGTAAATATCCCGAAATGAGTTTTGCGGTAGAAGATGAACTTAGTAAAGGAGGAGTACAAGGAATCATGGATAAATTAATATTAGTACAATCAAATTTCTTTATTAGTGGACCGATTGGATGTTGTAGATATTCGAGTACTTTTACTCAAAAAATTGTGGAATGGAGAGAAAGATTAATGATTGAAGATGATAAAAGAATTGAAAATTTGGTGGATAGATGGTAGTAAACTGAAACCGTGACATATATATATGCATATTAATAACAATAATTCAGAGTCAGGGCGTTTTTTATTTGATTTATTTGTATTTACTTAATAATGATACTTTTTTTTTTAATAAATTTATTTTATTTGTATTACAATAAGAGCTCAATTGTAATGTGTCTTATTTATTCAGGATTTTTTTTTTGTATCCAAAGAACTAATAGGTTCGTTCTGTGAATTTATTTTATATTATGCAATAGGTATTAAATGCAACAATTCTATTATACTTTTCTCTAAATCTTTCTTATTTAATAATAACATTTGGTTTAGTTTTGATTGAATCCTTGTTAAGTGTTGGAATTCTAAGTTGCTCCATGATGTATCTCTACTTAAGGCTACTTACTTATAAATATTGTTTCATCTAGAGATACTGTCACAAATGTGCAGAGTATTTTGAACACTTTCACCTATCAGTCTCAGAGTTTGTATCACATAAATTACTTTTTTAATATGCTCCATTTGCCAGTAGGTCAAGCAATCCACTAATCTAAACTTGTCTATCTCAAAACAGATAATAAATATAATTCTTTTTAATTCTCTTTAATTCTTTATTTTTAATCTGAAAGCTCAGTGAGTAAGGTGGAGTAAAAGTGTTAACACAGTATCAAATAATATTAAACAATATTTTCCAATATCATGATACAAAAGATAAGTTTATTAAAATATAAAAGGTACAAATTTAAAATTAAAGTATCATTTAACAACAGAAATACCACAGGTTATGTATCTATTTCACTGTTCCTAAAGGACATTTACTTTTATATCTAATGATATTAATATTCAAAACTATCCGTAATTATTAATTAACTGAAGTCTTAGAAACTACTAAGACTACTCTCCAGACTACAAAAAACTATTACTTCTTTTATACTTTTTCAACTTCATTCAAATTTTACCTGTCATCCTTTGTACTTCATCCTTCATCCTAGTGCTTCAACCCTCATCTTCATATGTTATCTTTTGGATGATAACACAAGTTATTATTCTCATACAATCACCTTAGTGTTACCATTTATTATACCACTTAATACAGATTATAACCATCCCAAGAATGACATATGTTTTATTTTTTAGGCCACACTCGAGTGAGGTGTATTTCATTTTTTGCACCACATGTTTTAGGATATTTATAGTTCCAATTTAGATGCTATATAGGTTATATTTGTATTCATTTGAGAACCACTGAGATATATAACTATGTAATATATGATTTGCTTTTAGGCCGCATTCAAAGGTGACCTATTTCATTAATCTGATCACATTGGTATGTAGTCAATTTCAAAAATTGGCTACATGGAAAACAGACATATACTTGGAACATATTATGGGAATGGGAAGCCATCTGCCATTTTTTTATGATATATTACTGTACTTGGCTATCCTGAAAATGTATCATTAAAATGAGCAGGCATCTGCATTTTTTCTTATATATTATTATCACATTTAAAAACCATGGTCATATATCCAAAAACATATTACGAAATAGGTAGGTTTCTTCCATAATTCTTATATAATATTACTGAAGTTATCTATCCTGATTACATATCTAAAAACATATTACTAAAGAGGTAGGTTTCTTCCATAATTCTTATAATATATTACTGAAGTTATCTATCATTATTACATACCCAAAAACATATTATAAAAACATATATATAATTTCCATTTTTCTTATACAATATTACTGAACTTATATATCCCAACCATATACTATCAAAGTATGAACTTATCTACTCAAAAACATACCATCAAAATAGGTATATAACTTTTAGAATCTTATAATAAATTACTGAACTTATATACCCAAAGTATTCACTAATTGAGATTACAATTCTCTTTATTTATCTCACTAAAACTTGATACATCTTTTTTGACATCTCTTATCAGGTATGAAAAAATTAATTTAAACTTTCAAAAATATATTGAGATAATATAACTTTGTTAACTGATAGATTCATAGTATAAAAAAATCAATTACCAAAAATGAGTGAGCGAAACTTACAAGTGATCCAGTACGGGGGTGAGAAAAGTATAGAAGCGATTTCTTCTCATAGTGACATTATATCAAAATGTGATAATGGACTAAAAGCCATACTTCAACAAAGTTTATCTAAAAAACAACCTATTCACTTTATACCTAATGATGTAGGTGATACCACTGAACATATAAATGGAATATCAACATATGTTTTATATATTTATAGTACTTTAATTAATAGACAAAAAACTAGAGTAGATATCACAAATATTAAACCACTCTTTGATATTGTTATTCTGGGTGAGGAGACACTAGCTACATTTAAAGATAATTTAGTTAAAATCATATTTAAGGCTCTTAAAGGTATATAAAAATTTGGAATCAAGATTGTTAATACCTTTTCAGTTCATGATTATCATGTAGAGGAGAAACAATATATATATGTAATAACATAGAATCAATATGACCAATTTAATGCATTGAAAGTGATTCATGATGTTAATTTGCAAATAGTTCCTGCTGATCTAAATAAACAATATTATTACCAAAAAATTGCTTGTAAGAAAAGATTACCTCTTTCTAGTTGGGCAATACTGCATGATTATACATATGATAAAAACATATTTCAAGTATCTATAGATAATTATAATGCAATAAATGATGTTAAGTATCGTGGATTTTGAATTAGACATTTCCTCAAGAATAAGTAAAACTTTACCTTCTAACTCTTTATTAAATGATCCAGTAATAATTTTTTCATTAGAAGTTTTTGTAGAGATTTTAGGGCCAAGAACCATTATTCTAAGAAACCATGTAAGCATAGTTTTACCAGTTACTGGTCAGAATAAAGAAACATTGATTTTGACATTTTCTGACCAATAGCTATTCTTAAAGTTAATCCCATCATATAAAGTTCTTGATCCTTATTAGATGAACAGAGAACTTTTCTCATATGATTAAGAATAAGTTTTACAGCATCACGAATTTCTTTACTAAACTGATTAAATGGAATTGAAAAGGTATGGAGAAAACCAGGAAATTTATTAATATAATATGCTCCATTTGGTTCTCGATAAATTAATGGTTGATATGGATTAACTCAAGAGAAAAGAATGATGTCTCTCTAAAGAACCATGATTGAATACTAAATTTTTCAATTACTTCTCCTTTATCATTTTTTAAATATTATATGCTCACCTTGAATAAAAGATTCACAAGCATCCTTTTTATTATAATGTTCAAAGATTTGATTTTTAGGGTTCCATTTATATACACCAACCTTTCCACGTGCAAAATATCTATATAAATAGCTTTTGGCATAATGAAGTTCTTTAGAAGTTTTGGCTAAATGAAATAATTTTCTAAACTTTTTATTATCGAATTCTTAAATGGGTTACCTAAGATAAACTTTGTTTGACTTGGCACATTCATTTTTTTGCTGGCTGTTACTTTTAGTTTGGGTATGTTCAATTACTTGGTCAAGTATCTAACTAAATATTTATAATACATGTTTATTCCATTGAGAATTTTGATGTAGATCATTTATTTCCGCATCTTCACATCTTTTTTCCGCCCTAATATTAATTGCGCTTTTGTCTAATAAATAAGTGATATTTTGAATTTTTTTCCTTGGATTTTTCCCTTTAACCGTCGAAACTTTAATCCAAGATATATTTTTCATGTCAGCTATCTTTCTAATGTTCGTTTAGAAAACTGTTTACTGTAAAACCAATTCTCTATCGTCCGAGGTTGATGCCAGGAGTTTAAGTAATTGAAAATTGTTCGGAGAACATTCTTTAGGCTTAATGATTGCTTCGCCGTCATTTTTTTTAAAATTTTAATGCTACTTTTTCCATAGTTTGCATTTGTTTTCTGTATGTGAGTGGTCTCTCATGGTTTTATTCAACTAATGAAAGGTCCAAATTGCTTCGGAAAATAAAAACTATTTCTCATTATTGATTTTAGCTACAGATTGTTTGTAAGAATCTATGTACCAGAAAGATTTTTTTGTTTTTTTTTATATTTATTTTAATCTCTTTAACTTTATTATTTTTATTTATTCTTGAAAATGGTTAATAATAAGTAAAGATTATTGAATAAATTAATATAAAAACGAAAAGACACACCTTCCATCCTAGACTTTCTGAATGATTCCTTCCACAATTCTTTCTTTATATTGATCAAATTGATGTATATGCATGCAAAAAGCAAGAAATCAAAACAAAATGAAGAGTTCTTACCTAAAACTAAAGAAACTAATACCATCAGCCAAAAAACCTAAATCCACCAGACCCAACCCTGTCACCGACCAGGCATGAGTCAAGAAACTAAAACTAGCAATAAAAAGAATGAATGATTAGTGTTAATATTCATGATGATAAAAATATATACAAAACAAAGAAATTATAAAGATTTCTTACCTAAAAAAATGTATCCTAAAGCACAAACCAAATATAATAAAAAAAGAAAGAAATGAAGGTTAGTACAAAAAAAGAAAAAAAGTTAGTATAAAAAAGAAGAAAGGTTAGTATAAAAAAGAAAATCGAACCAATCCACCTAGCCCAAACCACGTAACCGACCGCAGATGAACCAAGAAATCTAAGTATTAAAAAACTATCTATAAAAAGAATATAATAATAATTAGTATTTCACGATGTGGCATTTAAACAAACAAAAAAAAAATAAATGATTTCTTACCTTAAAAATCTAAACTAATGAAAAACTATCTCTGAAATGAATGAATATTACATGTTAGTACTTTTCAATGTATTATAAACAAAAAGAAACAAAAAGAAACAAAAAAAAAAAATCCAAATTTTACTCACCTAAAAAATCTAAACTAAAGAAGTCTATCCTAATAAAATCTAAACTAAAGAAACTATTTATAGAAAAATGTTTGTGATTAGTATCTATTCATTGTTTGTGAGCACACATACACATCAATTCTTTCAACTTCTTCAATTTGCCATCTTGAAAAAAGTTTTATAATAAGAAATCAATTCTTCCACAGGTTATCTTGTAAAATAATAAAAATGAACAAAAGTTAATATTAGTATATTAAGATGTAAAGCTAAAATATAAAATTTCCATCTTGATCTAAATTAGCCAATAAGATGAGTGGTCTTACAAGATGTCAACAAACCAAGGCGAAAAAATTAGTACGAACGAACAGCTATGCAAGAAATTGGACAAAACCAAAATAACAAAAGAAGAACAATGCAATAAACAACAATTTATGCCTAAATACCTAAAATATAGATAAAATTCAGAGGTAATTCTTAAGTCAAAATGCTACAAAAAGAAATTATAAAAGAAAGTATTAAAATTTCAGTATAGGTTCCAGATATAAATAATATCTCTGATAAATTCAACATAACGATAATGATTCTTTGTTAAAATAATATTTTTTTGTAATAATAAAGATTGATTTATCATTTTTCATTTATTGTAATAATAACTCACTTGTAATAACGAGTAAACAATAGTTATATTTACCCTATCCAAAAGCTTTGTAATTGAAAATATTATTTTGATGAAAATAAATAACTTTTTGATAAAAAAAAAATAGTTTTTTTGAGTGAAGATGTTGTTTTTTATATATTTTTTTTTAATAAAGAAATCGTTTTTACAAGTGAAAATATCAAAAAAAAAATATTTTTTATGGGAAAGTGAAAAAAATAGGAGAGACTTTTATTTATAAAGAAAGATGGCTACACAGAATAAACAAATAAATAAAATAATTGCTACACAAAAATAAAAAAATAAATACAAATTCTATTTTTAGATCTGACGAAATAATTACGTCAATAATTATGATGAATTTATTGTCAATAATTTACTATTATTGTTATCACATCACCATCACCAAAATAACAAATAGTAGGCAATTGCTCAAAGATCATAATGATGATGACACTACACTATTTATATTTACATTAATTTTTCGAGAATTTTTTCGCTAGAGTTTGACATTATTATGGCAGAGCTTTCACCATTATTATTATTAGGTTGATTATCATCAAATTATTATTAGAACTAGATTATTAATATGTTAATTTGATTGATTACACTGTTGGATGTTGAGTATGCGATGATAGTATAGCAATAAGAAAGTTCATTTATTGCTTGATTGTAATATAATTATCAATATCAGCATTGACATCAATATCGACATTAAGAAAATTATAATGATAATGATGATGAATTTGGTGGTAATGGATATTATTAATGATGATGATCTAAAATTATTTCATTCCTTCCTCCACCTCCACTTTTAATTCTATTTTTATTAACAAAATTTTATTATTGCTTCGACTAATTTATTTAGTTTTTTATGAATACTTAAATAAATATGTCTTCTTTGGAATAAAGTTGCATTTGCTCTCAAAAAGGAAATATGTAATTAGTAATCATAAAAACAAAATATAATAATAAATTATTTTTATAAACTATTAAAATAATAAGATATATTATCTAATTATACAGATTGAATTTTGTTTCTCAAGAAACTTAAAACTTTATAATATTTCTCCAATAGAAAAGCATCCAATGGCTTCCTCATAAAAAATAAATATTAAATTTTCTATAACAACAAAATCCTTTATCTTGAGTAAATCGTAAATTTTTGATTTCATCATAAATTTATTACAAAACCACGAACCTATAAATATTCTGATCATTAGAATCAAGATAACATAGAGCTCCAATATCATGTATAACTCGACTGAGAATTGAATTTTGAATATTCCCATTTTATCATTAGAAAATAATATTATCATCTGTTCCTATATTGAATTATCCCAAGCTAAAGGATTATAACGACCAACTATTTCATCAGTTCCCGCAATTTTAACAACCACAATTGTACTGGCATGTCAATGGTACATGTTCCAAAATGATTTGAGATGAAAACCATCTTTACTTCTTCGAAGAATTAAATGAAATTCATAAGGTAAGGTATATTTTCTAACAAATAAATAGTTGATTTTCGATCAATCCATGATGAAGTTCTGCAACATGTTCTTTGTTGATTATTGTTGATAATGGAAATCCAGAGGTTGAACTTGTTCTTGAAGGCAATTCAGGAGTTGAATTTGTTCTTGCCAGTAAAACATAATTTAACTGGTTTATTTAAGGGACATATGATGTTGGATTAAATCGCTCTAAAGTTATTTTCAAGGACTTTTTTTGTAGGGCTTTACTTATATCTTCACCCGGAATAAGAAAATATCTGATAAGTGGTAAACATCGTTTGGTAATATTTTTGCAGCCTTGAATTTTCATTAGACCATTCTTTCGAATTGACAGGTAATGTAGGATTTTGAGTTATTCCGCATTTAATAATAAAATCCAAAATTTTAATTTCTTTACTTTCAAGTCTTCCCTTTACATAAAGAAATTGATGCTGTTTCTTGAAGTCTCCCGATTCAAAAATTAAATTTGGATGATTTGCGATAATATCTTTGCAAAAATTTTTTAAACCTTTAAATCATTGTCATCAATGATTGAATGATAAATATAGGAGAAATGAGTTCAATTGACTTCAACTTCAGGGTTGGCATGCAACCATTGATTTAAAACCAATCCTCAGTACCCATGCTGCTTTTCAGTATATTCTTAATATGCTAATAAATTTGAGCCAGATCTGAAGCCTTCTCAGAAATTTTAAGCTGTATTCTCACTAACAGTCAACCTAATGATTCGTCTCTTGGCTCATTATCGAAAATTACTTCTTCGCAAAGTTGCAGAGCGTGATAACTCTACACAACAAACATGCTATCTGTTATTTATTTTTCTACTTTACCATTCTAGTTGCTAATTTGTCCCCTTAAAGCTCAATAGAAATGTTTTGAAACTGCTTTGTGATTCTGGAAATGAAGATGAATTTGCAACTAATTTAATGAAGTTGGAAAACATCACAATCACCCTTACAAAAATATCGGAACCAGCCTATCAAGCTTGAAGATATACCTTTTCAACTTTACCTAAAATATAATTTTCGAATAATCAGTGAAAGCCATATGAGTGAGAACATCATATACATCTGATTACGACCACCACCCCAGGTTAATAGCCCTTAATGGGAGAATATTGTTGTTTAAAAGTCCTACTTCATTTAAAAAACGAGTATTGAGCAATTTCCTATAAATAATACTGTTCTTTGGTCATACCTTTTTGAAATATATAGTGAAGAAATTGGCAAATGATCATGACCTTGCTTTGTTTCTCCTATAAATATAATAGAAGAGAACACTGCTAATGAAGAAGATGGACAAATGAATACGATCGGAATGAATGTTATTTGCACAAAAGTAGTTGGTTCAATGAGAAACATTCAAGAAATTTTATTTGAAGAAGACCAAGGCTCACCTTCTCTTCCAACTGCAGTCCTGATTAAATTTGGTAATTATTCTGGCCCTGCTATTACAAATATAGAAGGAAAGAGGCTTGTTCCTATATTTCCAATTAGATAAACTTGTAAATCCAAAATATATTTTGTTCATGTTTGCAACTTCCCATTAATCTTGTATGGGCTGTAACAGCAGGGACTAATGCTGCCAAATTCCATAGTAGGCCTTGGAAAGGAGAGTATGTTGCTGTCCCTTCTTTCGTAGCAGTGTCTCAAGTTTGTGCTCTCAAAGATCTTCTTTTCCAACCATTTTCTTTAAAGAGACTTCAACAAATAAAAATTCTAAGAGATTGAAAGCTAAAAAAAAGGATGAGATCTGAGCAGAAATTTATCATCTGTTCAACCATGTGATCACATAAGAAACATTGTCATGTGTTGTTACGGAATAATTAAATTTTTATTGTTTGATTTTGAGATTATTATTACTTGTTATTAACATGAATTTACGATAATAGAGAGGCATAGTAAAATACACATAGAAAAAAAATTGTATCTTTTTTTACTTCCAGTAATCTGAAATCCTTTCATAAAATTAGTTATCAATATTGTTACTCAGATCTCTAGTATGTTCGGTACCGTGAAAAGTGATCACATGGGGATAACGGACAAATTTTTCCAGTATACCTGGAAATATACTGTAAGTCCTACATCATGCTCCGGGCAATAATAAAAGGTAAAAAATTTCAAATATTTGAACTGATGTGAAAATATTTTTAACGAAATAACGTATGAGTAACAAATTAGTTACCCATATCGAGATAACTTCATATTCACAGTGCAATTTTCGATTTTAACAAAATAATTATTTATTTATTATTTAATTATACAGTTTGGAATTTATTTTTTTAATAATCTTAAATATTTCATAATCTACAATAGAAAAATATTCATCAGTTATCCTAATAGGTTTTTAATAAAAAGTATCAAGTCTAGTATCATTATCACATCAACATTCGTCATCTTAAGTAAAATTGGAAACATTTAATTTCATCATAAATTCATAATCACCAAACCATGGACTATAAATATTCTGATTATTATAATAACTTTACTACCATCCATAACTCGAATAAGAATTGAATCTCGAATATTCCCAATTTTTAATGAAAAAATGAAACTATTATTTGTTTCAATAAAAGCTTCTCTTATTGAATTATTCCAAGCTAGAGCCAACAATTTCATCAGTTCTTTCAATCTTAGCAACCATAATTGTACCAGCATGTTCCATGGCACATATTTCAAAATGTCTTGGGGGCGAAAATCATCTCGACTTCCTCGAAGAATTAATTGAAATTAATAAGGTATATTTGCTAAAGAATAAGTAGTTGATTTTCGATCAATCTATAATGATAGTTCTGCCGCTTGCTCTTTGTTTATTATAGTTGAGAATGGAAATTCAGGGTTTTTCTAAGGTAATTCAGATTTTGAAATTATTCTTGCTGACAAATCAATTGATTTGACGGGTTTATTTTGGCCATAAGATGTTGGATTAAATCACCCCAAAGCAGTTTTTCAAGTTTTTTTTTGTAGGACTTTACTTTCTCCAAATATCTTCACCAGGAATTAGAAATATCGAATAAATGGTAATCAGTGTCGTAGAGTAATTTTCAAAGCCTCAAATTTCCTTTAGACCATTCTTCTGAATTGGCGGGTAATGTCGTGTCACCGATTTTATAGGGCCATATATGTTTAAAGGAAAAAAGAAGGGAAGCTGAAGAGTTTTTGATCAACAAAAACAAAAGAATTATTTTTTTCAGATGTAATAAGATCTTATTGATGATTATAATGATATTATTAAAAAAATTGTGATTTGTGATTTGAGATTTGTGACTTGAGATTAGAGCTTTGGGATTGTATATTTATATTTGATATTTGAGATTAGAGATTTAGGATTTGAGTTGAAATTTGAGATTTCAGCTTTGAGCTGAGATTTGAGATTTCAGCTTTGAGATTTGAGATTTGGGATTTGAGATTTGGGATTTTAGATTTGAGACTTGAGATTTCAGCTTTGAGATTTGAGATTTGGGATTTGGGATTTGGGATTTGAGATTTGGAATTTGTTATTTGGGATTTGGGATTTGATATTAGAGATTAGAGATTTGGGATTTGAGTTGAGATTTGAGATTTGGGTTTGGGATTTCGGATTTGGGACATGGGATTAGAGATTTAGGATTTGGGACATGGGATTAGAGATTTGGGATTTGGGATTTGGGACATGGGATTAGAGATTTGGGATTTGAGTTGAGATTTGAACTTGAGATTTGTGATTTGGGATTTGGGATTTTATATTTGAGATTAGAGATTTGGAATTTGAGTTGAGATTTGAGATTTGAGTTTGGGATTTTAGATTTGGGGTTTGATATTTAGATTAGAGATTTGGGATTTGAGTTGAGACTTGTGATTTAAGATTTGAGTTGAGACTTGTGATTTAAGATTTGAGTTGAGATTGAGATTTCAGCTTTGAGATTTGAGATTTGAGATTTGGGATTTGTGATTTGGGACATGGGATTAGAGATTTGGGATTTGAGTTGAGATTTGAGCCTTGAGATTTGAGATTTGGTATTTGAGATTTGGGATTTGAGATTTTGAATTTGAGATTTAGGATTTGAGATTTGGGATTTGGGATTTGAGATTTGAGATTTGGGATTGGGATTTGAGATTTGAGATTATGTAAAAATAGATGAATTATAGAAATGTAAAGACAGTGAGTTGAAGTTTTAATGTAAAGAAGAAAGTATTATTAGAAAAATTGAAATAGAATAAAAAAAATCTCTACTTGCTGGAACAGCAATGGGGCAATATTTATTATTTTTATTATTTTTTTTTTATTTTTATTATTTTATTATTTTTATTTTTTTAAATTTTTTTAATGTTTATATTTATATTTTTACCCACCCCTTACCCTTAAAACCATATGATCAAGAAAGAGAAATAGAAAAGAAAAAGAGAAATAGAAAAAAAATAAAGAAAACGGAAAATGAATCAAAAGAAAAAAGAAAAAGATTTTTTTTTGTTTTTGTTATTTTTTATTTTTTTTTTTACTTTTTTTTTAATTTTTAATTTTTTTTTTTTATTTTATTATTTTATTTTTTTTTTTGTATTTAAATTTATTTAATAAAGAAAAAAAGAAAGATTTTTGAAATTGAAAATTAAAAATTAGAAAAATTAAAAGTTTAATGTTTATTAAAATGAAATTTATACTCTTTATCATTCCACTCCTCCCTCAATTCTTTTTCCCTCCTGGCAAGGTATCTATCCCATTTTTGTTCCCCTACCTTACCAGGAATATCCCAATAATATCCAGCATTGAATTCCCCAAAACTTTCAGGTGGTGATTGTTCATATGGCCATTGATCTTTACCATAGGGATAATAGCGCCATAATTTTGCCTTTATGGGCTTCATCCCTCCCAAGGTACATGGTGATTCCACCCAAATTTCTTCATCAGGATTGGCCAAAGGGGATGGAAGCATCTTGAGATGATTCCATCCGGCCTTAAGATTTTCACATTCATCAAAGTTAAAGTTTGGTGGGGATGGGATGTCAATTGGTAAAGATCTGGCCATTTCGGGGATTTGGGAAGAAGGAAGAGAGTTCACTGGAGGTGAACAATAAAGAGTATTGGTCGGTGCCTTTTTAAAGACACGACCAAAGAAAGATTTGATTTTATTTAAAAGCCCCATTGCTGTAAAGAAAATAAAAGAAAATAAAAAGTAAGAAAAGTAAGAAAGAAGAAAATAAAGAAAAAGAATAATAAAAAGAAGAAATAGAGAAACGAAGAAAGAGAAGAGAGAAAGAAAAAGATATAGTTAGAGAATGAAATAGGTAGTGTGGAGAGATAGGTAGAGAGAGGGATATTGGTAAAGAAGGAGAAATGGATTGATAGAGGTAGGGATCGAGATAGGCAGAGATAAAGATTGGTAAAGAAGGAGGGAGTGATTGGTAGAGAAGAGAGAATGGTAAAGAAGGAGAGAATGATTGGTAGATGGGCGAGAGAGATTGGTAGATGGAGTGAGAGATTGGTAGATAGAGTGAGAAAGATTGGTTTATGGAGTGATAAAGATTGGTAGATGGAGGAAGAAAGATTGGTAGATGGGCGAGAGAGATTGGTAGAGGGAGCAATAGATTAAGATCGGGTAATGAGAGAAAGGAATTAAGAAAAGAAAAGTGAAAATAAAAAAAAAGAAAAGAAAAGAAAAGTAAAATAAAGGGAGCAAGTAGAGAGATAGCGAGAAAGTGAAGGGAAAAAAAGATATTCGGAAGATTTAATTTTTTATTTGTATTATTTATATTGATATTGTTGAAGTTTTTGAAGTTTTTAGGAATCAGAATTTATTTTGAAGTTTTTTGAAATTTTAAGGTGATTAAAAAATGAGGGTATATATAGTTTTTGAAGTCTCTTAATCGGCAATCAAAACAGACACATAAACGCGAAAGAAAATGATGATCCTTATTGTTTATTTATTATATATTGTTTAACGCGACGTGTTTAATTTAAAGTTTTATATTTACTTAGTAATTTATATTTATTTAATATTTTATAATATTCTAAATTTATTTAATATTTACATTTATTTAATATTTTTAAATTGATTTTATATTTTGTATTTATTTAATATTTTAGATTCTTATTTAATACTCTTTGTTATATTCAATATTTATTTTTTCACGATCAATGATTTTTTAATATCAAAAATCTCTTCATGTGATTTCGTCAATCTGCTTTGAATATCCATAATATCTATTTTGTCTTATATAAGATAGCATACTATTTATAAATAAGGGAAAAATCGATAACATGACATATTAAATAATAATAGTAATAATTGATATATGTTGATTACCAATTTTATCCAATTCAATCACATATATCATAATCGTGATCATACTAAATAATAATTTATCTATATGATTTAATACTCAATTGCTTTAAAAAGTATATTCAAAGTCATTATTATGATATAATATAATCATAAGATAAACTTGTTGTTATTGTTGTTATTTAATAATAAGAATGATAACTATTTTATCCCTTTCACACACATGTTAACTTGCTACGTGATCTTTTAATACAATATAATATTTGTGGCTTTAAATTAAAAAGAGAATATTATTGGTTCACGATTACATTATTTATTGAATAAACTATCATTATTCTTAAAAGTGAAATAAAGCACATAAATATTTTACAATATGAATAATATTCTATCAATATTATTGCTATTATTGATAATTTCTTTTATATCGTGATTATTGTTATTGTTATATTACTATTATGATTATTATTATGATTATTGTTATTATTATGGCTATTTTTCAATCATGAATATTTCCTTTTGAGGTGCTACTAACGATAAACTTTCACCTGCAGAAGATCACCTGCAAAAGAGAAGGAGGAAAAATCAGGTTTCTAACTAGAAGAGTCGAAGTCCATTAGAGATAATTATTACTTGAATTATTGCTCTAATAATAGTATGATCATTATTAATACTTGATAATGACGATGATTAATCAATATTCAAAATTTTTATTTGTATTATTATCATTTTAATTGGTGTTTTTGGATGCATCTTTATAATTATTATCATTTTTTACTTTTTATCATAACAAAATCATCATTACCTCACTTACCTGTTATTATTGTTATTGTGTTATATTTAGATTAACAATGCAATAAGCGAGAATATGTTTTAAATTAATTAGTTAAATAAAGTAAAATTAAAGAATTAAAATAAAGAATTAATAATTAAAAACGCATCCGATTTCTTATTTTTTTTTTATTTCTTAAATTAAGATCATTGAATTATTTGATTTATCATCAAAAAGTGAATGTTAAAGTAACTACAGTCGGTCTAATTTGTCGTTTATTTAATTTTTTATACTTGATTTAATTTATTTCTTTTATGTTCACATTAGATTAGATTAAAAAAAATTTTTTGTTTTGTTTATTTTGTAAATGCAATCCGGTTACAAAAGATATTTACCACGTTTTTGCATCTTAAAATGGAAATATTTAAATCTTTTTGTTAATGCACTACTGTATATCATTTTATAAATATAGTCTGGATTCATTATTTTTTATAATATTTTAATAATTACTTTCATTTAGTCCATCTAATTTTTAAATAGGTTTATTTTAACTACATTTAATCAAAAATTTTTATTTATTTCAGTTAAATTATTATAAATGCAAACAATCACGCGAAAATATCTTTGGGTATTTGGGTATAAGCCCCAACTCAAAATGGAAATAGTCAAGAAATCTTTTTGCTATTATTTACGAATATAGTATAGATCAATGTTTTTTTTCACATATCATAATATCAAAATATCATAATATCATATCATAATATTTATATTCATTTAATCTATACAATTATGATCTCATATGATAGGATTATCCAATCATTTTTTCACAACCAAAGTTTATGTTTATTAATGTTATAAAGATATTAATATGCATCGCTGATTACGCATATAAAAAATTCTAAAAATATACATGATTAAATATTATAACTTTATAATTATTATTTTAATTATGTTAGGAAAACTATAAAGACAAATATATAAAAAAAAAATACACAAAAAAATCTGATGTAATCATATCTTATGATTTCTTATTTATAAATTTTATGTAATCAAATAATCTTATCTAACTTTATTATTATATAATTGTGGAAATCATGCACCTGAAAAAAAATGTTATCATTATTGTTTCTATAGTACAATATTCTAGATTATTTGATTGTCCATGCATATATTTTGGCTAAATGAAAGAAACTAAGATCGGAACTCTGCGCTATTTGTTTGATCAATCAATATCAAAGAGAAGTTGGAGCTGAAAAATGGACCAAAAAACAAATCGAAGGTAAATAGTTTTTATTTTATTTTATTTTAAATTCTAATGATAAACAAATTATTAATAAAAAAAAAAATCAATAATATGTGGGTTCAAAGAGGGTGATGATAATAATAATAAAGGTGATGATGTTAGTGAGGATGGTGATGATAGTGAGGATGATGATAATGATGATGGCTCAAATGGAAACAAGAGGAATAGAATGTTTCGTAAGAATACTTTTATCTATAATCCGATAATTTGGGATAAAAATGATAAATTTTAAAATTGAAAACTACTTTATTCTTTAAAATCACTATTAATTTATCTAGATTTCATTATTAAATCGAATATGACTTAAATTAATTGCCATCTGTTTTAAAAGTAAATTTTAATTGTATAGATATTTAAATTTAAAAAAGAAAATTGCTAAAGCTCACCGGTGGTGATTGTTGTCACTACTAGGTTAAATTAAATTTACGTGGCAAAGTCGGGATTAGGGGCTGATCAGGAATTAGGTAATTTTACCCGGCGGTGACAATCACTTCCGGTGAGCTTTAGCAATACCATCAATTATAATTATAATTAAATATTCAAATAAATATAAATTAATTATATTTTATTCATTGAAGAATAATAATTTTATTTAATTATTATTATTGTCGTTGTTGTTGAAACTTTAAATATTTGATATAATACTGATGTTAAAATGAGCTTATATCTTCGATAAAAAATAATAAATTAACCAAAAATAAGATGTGCATATGTCTTCGACCTTAAATCTAATCTTCAATATTCATGTAAAAAAAAAATTAAAAAAAATATATTTGATAATATTTGATATTTCAACTATTTTATATTGCCATTAAAAAATAGGTAATTTCTAATTGCCTTGCGAACATACTAAAAATTAAATTAAATTAAGACTTCGTTTCTTGTATTTGCTGTTTATTCTTTCGATAAATTTTGTGAAAATTATAAATTGGGACGATCCATCTTTTCGTGATTCTGCAATACTATTTAATATATCTTTCCATAATCAATTGGCTCACCGTCATTCTAAATATAAATCTAGATTTCAACGAAAATATTCTTTAATTACATTTAGAATCTATTTTATGCTAAAGATAAATTAAATAATTAATCTACGAATCACACGAATAATATTATTAGATAATCGAGATAAATAATAGTAGATATAGATAGCAAATATTTACACTTAGCATGTGCACTATACTACTTTACTAGACCTAGATGTATAGTAATTTATATTTATTCTTTAAATTAATAAAAAAAATAAATATAAAACTTTAAGTAAAGCAAAAAATGTAGATTTTTTCTGTGATCTTTTACCATTTTTATTTTTCTTCGAAATGAAAGTTCTTAATTTTATCACATATTATTTATCATTTTAATGACTAATTAAAAATTTTGTGAAATAAAATATATGTAAGTAATGGAATGTACCGGGAGATTCAGTAATGACATTGTGAGGAATCAGGATAATGGTTTGAACTTTTTATAATACTTTGATGTATCAGTCACTAATTCTTTTTCGGGAGTTTTTTAAATGGATATAGTGCTTCATTGTAAAATCGGAGGTGTGGAGGTCGAAGGTAAAATTTTATTTTTGTCAATTCCTATTTGAATTAAATAATCCAAAATTTTTATACGTTATCATGATGAATCAAAGCTAATTAGTCCAACTCATTGAAAAAAATGCCATAAATCCATAGCTTCGAGTACAACAGAAGAATAGTATTTAAATATCTTCACTTTACTGCAAGTTAAACATTTTCTAATAGTAGTTCCTAATAATGGAAGCATATCTTGCCTTGAATAAGATTCTCCGTGATATTTTTCTTAGTAAAATGGTGACAGTAGAATCTTTGATTAAATATAAATTGGCAATAAAATTCCAATAATATAAATTGTGGTTATTAGTAAAATAATTAATAAAAAAAAATAATTAATAATATAATAATTATGATGTACAAAAATCTCTTGTTCAAAAAGATAGTTGGGCTTTAATTACGCTTCATGCTTGTTTCAAATAGTATTAGAATGCATGATCGAAGCTATCGTATTTAGAATTTTCTATTGCTTGTTCTACATATGTAATAAATGAAATTTAAAAATGATATATTACATGTACTAACCTTACCATTCCATTATCTAGATAGTTCGCGATAAAAAAATATCAATATCAATGACCAGTAGCCCTTGTTTGACTTTCTCGTCTCAAGTTCCATGATCCTTAATGTGGAATGAAAGAAGCTTCACGAGAAACTTAAAAGACAAAATGTATATGAATGTATATGTATAAAGAGAGAAATATAATTATATCCTACTTAATAAATAAAATTGAAACAGAAATAATTGTCGTGACTATGTATTGAAGTAATAATTATCTATATATTTAGATGATAGATTAGATTGACTTTTTATTACGTAATTACATCTTAAATAGACTTTTTTTTTAATTATTAAAAATAGATTGTTATTACATAATTAAAATAATTATAAATTGATAAATCGACTTTTTTATTAAAAAATTGATTATTAATTTCATAATCAAAATAATTATTTATTGATTAAATTGACTTTTTTTAAAAATATTAAAAATAGACTTTTATTAATTAAAATAACTATTTATATATTAAATAGACGTTTTTAAAATATTTAAAAATTGATTTTATCTTTATTTGTTTTTTAATCATTAACTTTTTTTAATAAAATATTAAAAAATGGACTTTTATTTTTTATTTTTTAATTAGATATTAAAAAATAGAAACTATTATATTTCAATAACATAATTACATAATTAAAATAACTATTTATAGATTAAATTGCCTTTTTTTAATTATTTTTATAAATAGATTATTAATTTCATAATCGAAATAATTATTTATTGATTAAATTGACTTTTTTTTTAAAAAATAGCCTCATTTTTATGATTATTAGAAACTATTTTAAACTGTAAATTGACCTATTGCATAATTAAAATAATTATTTATAGATTAAATAAACTTGTTTTAGAAAAATATTAAAAAAAAAAGACTTTTATTTTTGATTATTAAATAAGAAACTATTTTAAGCTGTATTATTAATTACTAATTCTTTATATTATAGATTAGATCGATTTTTTTTAATTATCAAATAAGACTGTAGTTTACATCACAATTTTATATTAATAGTTTTATTATAGCATTATATTTCGATTTTAGCATGTTGTATTGAAAATATAAGAAAAATAATAAATGTTATTTATTACTATTAAATAGATTTAGGTAGTGTTATATAGTGATTATATAGTAGTTTATAGAATTTTAACTAACCACTTGTCAATAGAAAGAAAGATTAATTAATGTATATGTACATATATTTATTTGTATTTATTTCCATTTGTAATCCAAAATCTGGATATATCTTTATTAATAAATTTATTGTTATTAATCTTTTTAGACAATGAATTTTGTGCACTAGAGTTCAATGAAAAATAGATGTATAAGTAATTAATAATATCATCAAAGTCAAAAAAAATTAGATAAAGAAGAAAGTAGAAACATATACTTATCTCCACTTTGTGCATTTTTCTTGCACAATTTTTATTAGAGAATCAGTGGAAGTTATCAAATGGATTGAAATGACTCAAGCTTCCTTGTAGGAATCGAACCTACTGGGAAAAGAAATCCCAAACCATTAGGAAGTTTTGTTGACCCAGAAACTAGAAATCCGAAGATGACTGGTAAAAACTGGAGCATAGTTAATTGAGAAAAGGTAATAACTAGCAAAAACCCTTCTTTTTGGTCCTGGAAACGAAGAAACTGGGGAATAGTTAGTTGGCAATAATAGTAAAGAAGTATTAACCACATTTTTTTTGAGAAAATAGAAAATACTTAATGGGGATTGTTGAATGATCTCAACAAGCCCCTCTGAGCCCTCAAAATATCCAAATCTTCTTGTTGCATTCGATTGTAAATATCTAAAAGTCTTTGGTTTAAATCTTGTTGTTGTTGATTAAGAGCCTGTGGTTGATTTCTATGTTGAATTCTATTACTTCTTCTGGGTGTTGCTGTAGTGTATTGTTGATTATTGCTGGCATTATTTCTTCTTCTCCTAATTGGACCTGTACCTGTACCTGTACCTGTTGAAGAAGCAGTAGAAGCAGAAGCAGAAGAAACAGAAATAGAAGTAGAAGAAGCAGGAGCAGAAGAAGCAGAAGTGGAAGAAGCAAAAACAGAAGAAGCAGAAGTAGAAGAAGCAGGAGCGGAAGTAGAAGAAGTAGAAACAGAAGAAGCAGAAGTAGAAGAAGCAGGAGCGGAAGTAGAAGAAGTAGATACAGAAGAAGCAGAAGTAGAAGAAGCAGGAGCGGAAGTAGAAGAAGCAGAAACAGAGGAAGCAGAAGAAGCAGTAACAGAAGAAGCAGTAACAGAAGCAGAAGAAGCAGAAACAGAAACAGAAGATGAAACAGAAGCAGAAGCGGGAGCAGAAGTTGTTAAAGAAGCAGAAGTGGAAGAAGAAGCATTATTAGTGCAAGTAGTGTTAGTATTGTTAGTATTTGATACCTGAATCCTTTGTTCAAGTGCTTCCCAGGTGGTCCACAATTCAGGGCAATCATAGGGTCCAAGACAGGTTTCAGCATAAGAAAAATCTGGATAGTTTGAAAGTTGAAGAAGCCTTGGGTCGATAGGATAGTTCAAAGAGTTTTGGTAAGTCATTTTGAATAATAATAAAAGTTTTTTAATATAATAGATCAAGTAAAAACTAAATTTTAAAAAGATCCGATGAAAAAATTGAAAATTGAAAAAATGGGGGGAAATGGGTCCTTTATATATTTATTCCTAGTCACATAGATCAAAAAATAAATAAGAAATTGTTTACAAACTTGAAAATCAACAAAAAAAAACAAATAAACAATAAATTGTTTACATGCATGCATGCTAAAACTCAGATGCATAATGTAAACATGAATTTATAGTTTTTTTAAGAAACAAACAAATAAAAAAGAAAAATAAATAAAAACTTAGATTTATTTACTAAAATTTATTTTTATCATAGGTATTTCAAATATTATTTAATAATTATTACAATTTTAAACAATTACAATTACTATTATATTCTTTTTTGAAATAATTGTCATTTTTTTTTATCTGAAGAAGAAATTCCTTTTTAATATCTCCTGCAACTAAAAAAACAATTGTTATTATTCCGAAAGTCACTTTCACTATTTATTTTCCAAATTAGCATTCAAAGTAACTATTAGACTAATTATAACATTATAAAGTGAAGTAATAAAAAAAATAATAAAATTAATAATAAATGAAATATTAATAATAATAAAGATAAATACTAATTAAATGAAATATTAATAATAATAGATTTTAATATAAATAATAATAAATGAAATATAAAATTACATCAGGTAAGATATGATTATATTATATACAAATTTTGATATATAGTTATATAGTTTATCAAATTGTAATTAAATTAATTAAATTGGAATTCCGGATTGTATTATTAACATATATTTTTTAATAAAAAATAATAATAAATGAAATAATAGTAATGATATAAATAATAATAACTGAAATATTAATAATAAAATTTGCATCAGATAATATAATTACATATGATAATACATAAGAAATATATTTTTAGTCTTGTGTTTAAAAATAGATTTAGATCTTTCCAATTATTTTAAAGTAAAATAACTATTTTTAACTTTAACGATTAATTTTAACGATTAAAATTAGTATGACATATAAAAATTTAAAAAGTTTATTATTAATTTATTTTATTAACAAAATTATTATCAAAAATTACAAATGATTTTTAATACATAGTATTTTCAATATTTTTATATTCAGCGTAACAAAATTATAACTAAATATATATATTCTGATTTCTACTATACATCAATTTTGAACTCCATTCCATATTATTCAATAACTATTCACCACTTAATGTAAATATTCACACTTGTTATATACGTTTTACAATAATCTTCTTATTTCTTCCTCATCTTTACAACGCTACCCTCAAAAAATGTTCTTAAATTACTGTATTAGCACTAAATATCTACATACTAATTTCGATAATTTCAAGTGATTCTGGACATTTTTCGGATATTTGGTATAATAATTCATTAGATATCCACAAACAAATGAAAATATTCTTAAATCATTAAAATTATGATTCGAGAATTTTTGAAATAAATTCTTAAGGATTTGGATGGTATAAATGAAAAAAATAGGGAAAGCTACTTAATTGAACAAATGATGAAGCAATAACAATGGTCAATATATATAAAGGTGAAATAAATTGTCCAATTGGTGATTATTTCAATCCGAGATGATTAAGGCTCATGGATTTTGAATGAAGAATCTTTAGTTTTTGACTAATAATAGTTCACAATTTTGAATTATGATTTAGTCTGATTCTGACAATAATAATAGCATCAATTGAAAGATTTCTAAACGTTTTGAATTCTAATAAGTTTCCGCAGATAATCGAATCTGAGAATGTGCATTCAATTCCATATCCATATTTAAAATATTATCACAATTAATGTTAATGATTCACTTATATCAATAATTTGTTTGTATGTATAAAAGGAAACAAAATAAACTTAGTTACCAATTATAAATTTATAAGTGAATAATGATTGTTAATCAAAATTCTAGCTTGAATATCCATAAGTTCGAATACTTTCTTCCTCAAATCTTTATCATCTTTACAACATTCTTGACCCAAAAGTAATTTCCAAATGTATAGGTAAAGTAACTTAACACCAGATTCTATTAACTAATAATTATGAATATAAATCTTGAGTTGATTGAACACTATTTAAAATTATCATTAATATTTCAGTGGAAATTTAGTTGTCATTTTTTTTTTGTCTAATAAATAGAAATTTTAAGGAATAAAAAATTTTATAAACTATCAATTATTTTGGGCTTTTTAAATGATTTTCGTGTTTTGTTGAATTTTTTTAAAAAAAAATATTATCGGTCGGCATAAATAAAAATAAATTTTTTAAATGCAATATCGAATATTCTTTCTTTCAATTAACCAATCAATTTTATATTAATTAAACCAAAATAGTAAATTTATGTGACGTATGGAAATATATATATAATAAGCGTTTTGATCAATAAATCAATAATTCCAACAATAATATGACAAATATTACTATAAATAGTAACAATGCAATCAATCAAATTAGTTAATATATCAATAGATGAAATAAATTGTACTTTATATTTCATTACATTCATTATAATTATTATTACTATGATAAACAGATTTAAAAGATGTCCAAATGGGTGATGATGTGAAATTTGGCGATAATAGAGAATGATGGTTATTGTAATTGAAGTGATGTCGATGGTAGTGATATTCAAGGATTATTATTAATAATGACAGGAATATTAGAATTTAATAACCAGATGGAGGTGGGAGTTGAGGAGAAAGAGGTGGTATTAAAAAAATTTTTATTACTGAGCCGAATTATCATTATTATTATTATTATCAAGAGCGATATAAACAATGTCAACATCAAAACCACCATCATTATTACTATTCTTATTGACATTGACTATGGTGATAGTGTATGGGTAGTAGTGACCATGAACAAGTTTAGTAGTGGTGATTGTAAAAGAAGAAAGAAGAGAGGTGATGAAGTAGAATGAAGAATATAAAACATCCGTAGCAGAATTTTGGATATTTCGAATAGGAGTATTATGAATATTACATTGTTGTTTTCGTTTTTGTTATTATTTTTATCGATGGTAATAATAGAATCGGCATGTACGGAAGTGTGATAGAAAGAATCAAATAGTTGATCGGATAATGTTGGTATCGCTAGTGGGGGTGAGGTTTGAAAGTCTAAAAAAGATAGTATTCAATATTTCTAATATTTAATAAATAAGAAAAGAAAAGAAAATTTCTGTTTGATCGAAAAAGTAACAAATTTGCTCGATTGTCATTCCAAGTCGATATATTCCAATAATCATCTTGAATAAAATCCCTTACCTTCGTTATTATTATTGTTGTTGTCATTATTGGTAGAGAATAATAAATTGGTTGATTATTACTATTAATATTATTATTGATATTGATATTATTGATATTATGTTGAGATTAATAATATTTTGTGAGAATTTAAAGAAATATTAGCAAAACTTAGAGTTTTTTGAGAATTAACTGCTTTTGCTTTGGTATGGGATTAATTGATTGAAGAAGATAAAAATGGTGTTGTAGTTGAATTATTTGAATCCACTAATTTTTTCGCGATAAAGTTAAATTCTTTGGTTTCTTCATTTTGGATGCATTTTTAGATTCCAATACATCCCGTTTTACTTTAACCCTACAATTTTGAAACCATATTTAATAGCTCTCGATAACATATTAAGTTGTTTAGCTAATTGCACACGTAATTCTGTATCAGGTTTTTAGCTTTTCAAATATATTTCTTTTCTTCTGTTAAATGATCCGTTTTAAATAACGATATAGAATAACTGATGGAGAAAGTGTTGAAGTCGTCATATTAAAAGATAGCTTCTATCATTATCATCAAAATTATTATCTTTATTGGTGAGTGTGATAGTAAAGAAATCAAGAATGAATTATATGATAATAATATTGATTTCAAATGGGTTTCTTCAAATCTTGGAGGTAGCAACGATGCTTTAGTGGTTTTCTTGATTCAGTTTCTTGGGCCTTCCACCTTTTTATTTGTAGTTGTAAAGTTGTTGTATGTGTAATTTTTCAGTTTCTCTTTAGTTAAGACAATTTTTTTAATTAAATAATTTAAAAAAAATTTTATTGTATAGAAAAAATTTTTTTATTTGACAGAAAGAATTTTTTTTTTATTATTCTTATTACTGATCTAAAAATATATATATTTTTTATATTCAATATACTTAAATTTTAACTATAAACTATGTAACTATATAATCGTAATCTGCATAATATATTATGTATAAGATGTAATTATGTATAATTAATCAATCATATAATAAAAATAAATTGTAGTAAATAAATTTGATTTTTTTTTTTTAATTTTTCTTTTTTAATTATTTATTTCTTATTTTGTTTATTTACTTTTTATTTTATTTATTTATTTCTTATTTATTTATTTATTTTAAATAAACTATAACTTCATGCATCTGAGTTTTAGCATGTAAACAATTTATTGTTTGTTTGTTTCTTTTTTGATTGACATGTAAGCACGTAAACAATTAATTATTTGTTTATTTTTTTTTTGATCTATATGACCTAGAAATAAATATATAAATGACCATTTCCCCATTTCTGATTTTCTTTTTTTTCTTCAGATTCTTTTTAAAAATTTAGTTTTACTTAATTTTTTATCACAAAAACTACAAAAACTTTTATTATTATAAAAATGGCTTACCAAAACTACCCAATCGACCCAATGCTTCTACAAATCTCCAACTATCCAAATTTTCCATATGCTGAAAGATGCCTTCGACCAAGAGATGAATATAATTGCCCTGAAAAGTGGATCACCTGGGAAGAATTTGAAAAGAAGATGGAGGTATCAAATACTAACACTACTAACACTACTAACACTACTAACACTACTAACACTACTAACACTAATAATGCTGCTTCTTCTACTTCTACTACGTCTACTTCTTCTACTTCTACTTCTTCTTTTACTTCTGCTTCTACTTCTGCTTCTATTTCTGCTTCTGTTTCTGTTTCTGTTTCTTCCTCTGCTTCTTCTGCTGCTTCTGTTTCTGTTTCTGTTTCTTCCTCTGCTTCTTCTGCTGTTTCTGCTTCTTCTACATCTACTTCTGCTTCTACAGGTACAGGTACAGGTACAGGTCCAATCAGAAGAAGAAGAAACAATGCCAACAATAATCAACAATACACTATTACAACACCTAGAAGAAGTAATAGAATTCAGCAAAGAAGCCAACACCAACAAAATCCGGCCCTTAGTCAAGAACAACTCCAGAGACGTCAAGAATTGAACCAAAGACTTCTAAATATTTATCAGCGAATGCAACAAGAAGATTTGGATATATTGAGGGCTCAAAGGGGCTTGTTACGATCATGTAACAACCCCCATTAAGTATTTTCTATTCTAATTTCTCAAAAAAAAAATTTATTAATTACTTCTTCCTGATGTTATTACTCTACCAATACCAATTAACTATGCCAGCTTCTATTTTCCAGGACAACAAAGAAGGGTTTTTGCTAGTTATTACCTTAGCTCAATTAACTATGCCCCAGTTTTTACCAGTTTTCTTCGGATTTCTAGTTTCTGGGTCACCAAAACTTCCTAATGGTTTGGGATTTCTTTTCCCAGTAGGTTCAATTCCTACAAGGAAGCTTGAGTCAATTCATTTAATAACTGCCAGTGATTCTATAATAAAATTGTGCAAGAAAAATGTTAAAGTGGAGACAAGTATATATTTCTTATTTCTTCTTTATCTAATTTTTTTGGTTTGGATGATATTAATAATTAATTATTCATTTATATTTCAATGAACTTTATAACTTTATTAATAAATATTTATACAAATTTTTGGATTAAAGTGAAAACTAATTACAAATTACTATATATACATATAATTGATCTTTCTTTCTATTGATATCTTAATGACAAGTAATTAATTAAAAATCTATAAACTGCTATATAATCACTATATACACTACCTAAAACTATTTAATGGTAATTATCAATATTTTTTTTTATCTTATTCCTTCAATACAATTTACCAAAATCGAAATTTAATGCTTATGCTATAATGAATCTATGAATATATGCAGTTTAAAATAGTTTCTTATTTTAATAATTTAAAAAAAAAATAAAAGTCTATTTTTTAATATTTTTTAGAAAAGTCATTTCTATTTAATCTATAAATAGTAATGCAGCTTAAAATAGTTTCCTGTTTTAATAATTAAAAAACAAAAAAGTTTATTTTTTATTATTTTTTAAATATGATCGTTAAATCTATAAATAGTTATTTTAACTGTGTATTTAATATTCAAACTATGAAGATAAATTAAGTTATTGAAACTACAGTTTAAAATAGTTTCCATTTTTTGTTAATAATTTAAAAAACAAAAACAAAATAAACCTATTTTTTAATAATTTTTTTAAAAAAAATAAAGTCTATTTTTAACATAACTATTTATTGATTAAATTGAATTTCTATAAAAAATATTAAAAAATAAACTTTTATTTTTTTTTAATTATTTATTGATCAAATAGACTTTTTTAATTGTGTAACTAACAATCCAACCATGATGATATAATTACATAATTAATTTGATCCTTCTAAATATATAAATACCTATTTTAACTTTCTATTTATTTATTTTTCGCTCACTAACTCTCTTCTTCCTTTATTTATTCTCCTTTATTTGTTCTTTTATGCAATGTTAATATGAACATAATTAAATATATTAAAAATACTTTTACCATAATTTGTGCCTAAAAAAGAAAAATTCGAAAGAGAACCTAACTTTTGCTCTTTAAAGACCAAAACCAGCAAGAAATCGAAGAAATTACTAAAAAATGAGCAATAATAAGTAAATTGTTAGAGGAAAACAATCATATTCACGAGATAACAAAATTAAGCAAGGTGTGATATTCTTATTTATTAGAGAAATATATAAATAGGTCATTTCCAAGATATGGCCGGGAAAATTACAATTATTTCTGCTTCAATTTTATTTATCATGTAGAGTAGAATTTATTTAATAGTATTTCATTCTGTATGAATATATACATTTAAGGTTCTAACGATTTCCTTTCAACTCTTACACTTCAATATTATCCTTCTTCTTTCATTCCACATGAAAGATAATGAAATTTGAGACAAGTCAAGCAAGGCTACTGATGCTGATATTTTTTATCGCGAACTGTCTAGATAATGGAATGGTAAGGTTAGTGCATGGGAATATAAAATGTTTCAATTTCATTTATTATGTGGAACAAATAATAGAGAATTCAAATAATACAAATTCAATCTTGCATTCTAAAAGCGCAACTCTCTTTTTTGAAGAGATCTTTGTACATAATAATTATTATATTACTAATAATTTATATTTTTTATTAATGGTTTAACTACATTTTAGATTTTACTGACAATTTATATTTAATAAAAGATTCTATCGTCTCTATTTTACTACGAAAAATTTCACAGATGCTATATCCATTTTAAAAAAACTCCTGAAAAAGAATTAGTGACTGACACGACAAAGTATTATATTCCCTCAAGAAAACCAATTTTCTCAAGAATCTTTTCACTTTAAAATATTTCGTTTATTCTTACGATAGAACAAGTAGTTGAAATTGTAACTCGGATATTAGTAGTATAGTTTAACATATGAATTATTCTTTGTGGAAGCAGAGGTGAATATGGACAAAATACATTTTGGAAATTGCGATCAGAAAACTAATTTATGTGATGAGATTCTTACAATTTTATTTTAATTTTATGAAAATATCCCGAAACTAATGACAGTTTTTTATTTTTTTTTATTTAAGAATAGAAATATCAAAAATTTAATTATAAAATTGGTTCGGCATTGCAACAAATAAGATTTTGGACTTACAGTAATGTCAAGTTATTCAAGTCTCTGATTCATCGCGTGAATTTATTTGAACCTTTTTAATTTAATATAAGAGATTACATCAAAAGAAACGTTTTTCTTTCAACAAAAATATTTAATAAGTCATTGAAACAATGATTAAGAACTTTCATTCGAAGAAAAATAAAAATGGTAAGATTACAGAAAAATTTTCGAAAATGATAAGATATCTGCAATTTTTTGCTTCATTAATAGTTTTAATGTTTTTCCTAACTAGCATTCCATTTACGTATTTATTTATTTATTAATTTAAGGAATAAAGACAAGACATTATTATACATATAGGTCTAGTAAAGTAGTACTCATGCTAAGTATAATTTTCTATCTATTAAAAATAAAAATGTAAAAAAAAAAAAAATTAATAACATTATTTATCTCTAATTATCTAATAATAATTATTCAAGTTAATTATCTAATTTATCTTTGGTATAAAATATATTCCTTTTAGACCAATATCAAACAGTTGATTACGATGCTTGATTTGGTAATCATTGTGATCTGATTGTCATCAATATATCAAAATGTAAGTATAGAATATTTTCGTTTTAGAAGTCTTGATTTATATTCAGTATGATGGTGAGCCAATTGATCATGGAAAGATATACTGTATTAAGTATATTACAGAATCATAAAGATGGACAGTAAGTGTTAATTAATTGACCCAATTTATCATTTTTTACACTACACTTTATTTAATTTTTTAATTTAACGAAAATTTATCGAAAAAATAAACAGAAAATACAAGGAACAAATTATTTTATTGAAGTCTTAATTTAATTTAATTTTTAGTTTGTTAGCGAGATAATTAGAAATTAAAAATTCTAGTATTTATATATCTTTTTGCGATTATTTTAATAACAATAATTGAAATATCAAATATCATCTAATATATTCTCTTGTTTTATTTATACACAAATATTAGAGATTCAAAATCGAAGACATATATGTACATTAATATTACAGGTTAATTAATTATTTTTTATCGAAGATGTGAGCAAATTTAAATATTGTATTATTAAAGTTTAAAGTTTATTTAATTGTAATAATATAAGCAAGAATAACATTAATAATAATAAATAAGTTATTATTTTTCAAATGAGCAAAATATAGTTTATTTATATTTATTTGAATATTTAATTATAATAACACTTAATACTATTAATGAAAAAATATTTTATTTAATAAATGTATATAATATTTGAATTCTCGTTCGCAAAAAATATTTTTTATCTAAAAAAAACTATTCACTTTTAACAAAAAAAAATTTTCGCTCTAAAACATTCTTTATTAATTTTATTAATTGGCAATATTATCATATTCAATATACAATTTTTAATATATATAACTTTGCACTGTGTAGTAGTCGTGATATTCTTATTGACGTAATTATTTCGTCAAATCTAAAAATAGAATTCGGAGTTGATCATTTTATTTATTAATTTATTTTGTGTAGCCTCATTCCTTATAAATAAAAGTCAGATCTTTTTTTTTCTCCTGATTTTTTTCATTTTCCCATGAAAATTTCTTTTTTTATATTCTCGCTCGTAAAACTATTTTTTATCAAAAAAAAAACTATTTAATTTTAACAAAAAACACCATTTTCGCTCTAAAAAAAACTTTTTATTATCGAAAACGAAGCTTATGGGTAAATATATTACAAAGAAATACTATTATAAAATGAAAATTATATGGCAACGAATTATTATTACAAAAAAACAAAAATGATAAACCAAAAAAAAATAAAAAATACAAATTATTATCATTACGAATATAGAATATATGCTAAAATTTATCACGATTATAATTAATATCGGGAATCTATGCTAAGATTTTCACTTTTGTTTCATCATTTCTTTTTGTAGCATCTCGATTTTTTCTTACGAATGATCTCTGGTATTTGGCTTCGTTTCAGGTATTACAGTATATATGTTGTATATTGGTGTCATTCTTCTTGTTGCTTTGATTTGTCCGATATTTAGCATGGCTGGTGGATCGCTTTCCTTTAATTTTAGGTAAATATTTTTTATTTTTTTTTATTATTTGCTATTGTTGCTTTGTATGATTCTTATTACTGATCTGATCTTTTGATTTATAAATTCTTTTTTATTATCATTATTATTATTTTTAGTTTGCTGATTTTAATTTTTTTCTTGGTTCGACCTTGGACAGCATACAAGTTTGGACCAGGAGATTGGAATTTCAGCTAGTGGATTGCTTTTCTTTTTTTTAGATGAGTATTTTTTATTTTTCATTATTGCCATTATTAAATTTTGTTTGATCCTTATTACGAATATGGATTTATTCTTTATTTAATATTATTTTTAGTTTGTTGGTTTTGATTTTTCTTGGTCGAACCTTGAGCGGCATATAAGGTTGGTCAGGTGGATTGGGATTTCAGCTGGTAGATCGATTTACTTTGTTTTTATTATTTTTTTATTAATATTATTCTTTGTATGATGCTTATTATTGATCTGAGCTTTCTTTAATTTTCTAGATTTCATTTTTTATTTTTTTTATTATTTTTAGTTCATTGGTTTCGATTTTTTCTTGAGTTTTGTCAGGTGAATTGGGATTTCAACTGGTGGTTTGCTTTTCTTTCTTTTTAGATAAGTATTTTATCTTTCAATAATTGTTTTTGTTATTTTTGTATGATCTTAGTACTGAACTGAGCCTCTTAAATTTTCTAGATTTGGATTTTCTTTTTTTTTAATATTTTTGTTCATTGGTTTTAAATTTTTCTTAATTCAATCTTGGGTGACATACAAAGTTAGGTAGGTGGTTTGGATTTCGACTAGTGGATTGCTTTTCTTTATTTTAAGGTAAGCATTTTTATTTTTTTATTTTTATTTATTATTATTACTTTTTGTATGATGCTTCTTTTCATTTTCTAGACTTCTTATTTCATTTTAAGTTTGACGGATTTGATTTTTATTATTAGTTCAACCTTGCATGCATACAAGTTTGGATCAGGTGAATTGGGACATCAGCTAGTGGTTCGCTTTTCTTTTATTTTTATGATAAGTATTTTTATATTTTCATTATTTCTTTTTGTTATTTTGAATGATGCTTATTACTGAACTGAGCTTCTTTTCATTTTCTAGATTTCTTATTTTATTTTTTTTTCATTATTTTTAGTTCAATAGTTTAGACTTTTCTTAATCCAATCTTGGATGGCATACAAAATTGAACCAGTGAATTAGGATTTTAACTAGTGGTTCAGTTTTCTTTATTTTTAGATAAGTATTTTATAATTTTATTATTTGTTTTTGTTATTTTTGCATAATGCTTAGTACTGAACTGAGTTTTTTTTCGTTTTCTGGATTTCTTATTTTATTTTAATTTATTGTTTTTAGTTCACTGGATTAATTTATCATTGGTCCAACCCTGGACAGCATACAAGGTTGGGCCATGTGAATTGAAATTTCAGCTGGTGGTTCGCTTTAATTTTTAGATAAGTATTTACATTTTTTTATTATTTGTTTTTGTTATTTTGTATGATGCTTAGTACTGAACTGAGCTTCTTTTTTGTTTTCTGGATTTCTTATTTTATTTTTTTATTATTTTTGGTTCACTTGTTTTGGTTTTCACTAGTTCCAATCTTGGGTGGCATACAAGGTTAACCAAGGTGAATTGAGATTTCAGCTGTTAGTTGACTATTCTTAATTTTCAGGTATGTTTTTTATTTTTTGATTATTTGTTCTTGCTATTTTGTATGATTCAACTATTTAACTGAGCTTCTTTGTTTTCTGGATTTCTTATTTTATTTTTTATTATTTTTAGTTTTCTGATTTTTGACTTTAACTAGGTCCAATCTTAGGCGACATACAAGGTCGAACCCAAATGGATTGGGATTTTGGCTGGTAGATCGCTTTTCTTTATTTCGTAGATCTTTATTTTATTTTATTGTTTTTAGTTTGCTGGCTTCAATTTTTCTTGGTTCAACCTTGGGCAGCATACAAGGTTGGATCAGGTGAATTGGGAATTGGTGATATTCATTTTTTTTATTTATAGTAAGTATTTATATCATTATTATTTTTTGTTATTTTTGCATGGTGCCTAGTACTGAATTGAGCTTTCTTCCTTTTTTTAGATTATATTTGACTTGTGCATCAGAATCCATTTTTTAGGTAATATAACTTCATTTTTATATGCTTATTATTGATGAATATCAATAGTAATCATTTATTCTTTTTATTGTCAGTTTTTAGTTTACTAACTCATGCCTGGGAAGTAACTGGGGTGCGTCGGATTGATTTAGGTTTTTTTGGCTGGTGGTCTGAGTTTCTTTAGTTTTATAATTTAATGCTTTTTGCGCATGCACATTGATTTGAACAATACAAGAAAATTGTGGAAGAGGAATCATTCAGAAGGTAAGGTTTCTTAAATGATAATTACTTATTACTAACTTTATTTTTTTTCAATATGGTAAGAACATTTTAAGAATTAAAAAAAATTATAAAATTAAAGATTAAAAAATATAATTTATTTCATAATTTATATTTACAAAAAGATTTAGTAATATTTCATTTCTAATACAAAAGGAATTTGTATGTATTACAGATCTATTGAATTTACATAAATAGTATTCTGGATCAATTATAGGTACTTCACATTCTTGCCCTATTCCAACATGAAATACATAACAGCTCCAAAAAAATCTATAGTGTTCAGAAAAAAATTTAACGCTGGTATACAACTTAAAAGAAGAGCTGATAAATGACAATAGATACTTACAACCATTAAAATCGACAAACATAAACAGAACAACAAGGCATTCACAATACAGATGCTAGAAAAAGAAATCAAAATCCAAAAATATTATGCATTTCAGTGGGCACAAGGTTCAATAATAATGGGATAACAACATACCTAAACACTAAGGAAACAAAATAATAAAGAAATAGAGAAGAGAAGTGATAGGTATATAATATACAACAAACCGACATTTTTAAAAGGAAATAAAACAGATATGTTGAGGCGATGTGGAGGATGAGAGATTAAGAAAAAGGGAACAAAAGAAATAAATGTTTAATCAGAATCAGAAATTTAAACAGTTACTGTGGATGAAAACAGACACTGTGCAGTCGAAAAGCTCCTTACAAATATTAAACTGACAAGAAACAAATCAGAATAACTCAAAGCTTAAAACATATTGAAGACGTATTAAATACATCTAAAATTAAAAGATATAAGAAAAACAAAATAGAAGTGCAATTAAAAGAGTAAACAAAATAGATAATCGATGTAAAGGAAAATGACTAGAATCAATATATGACACAAATCCAAAATATATAAAAGACTAAAAAACTATAAAGATATATTGAGGAATTATACAAACTTTACCTTTTATACAGATGTATCCAGATTGGATAAATTCAAAGAGTACTAAATGAAAAGCGGATGGATACTTATGGCTCTGAAAACGAACTTATCATTTATAGCAGATCCAATTGAACATCCAACCTGAAATCTTTGCAATATTAATGACACTCAACATATCACAATACAACACAAAAGTCAATATATACACTGACAGTATAATTGCAATTAGATAAATTAAGCAGAGTATTAAAATGAGTTCACAGAAAATATAAAAGAAATTCTCAAACCAAACCTGTTGTCAAATAAGCAGAATAATCAGTCAAAGGAAGATGCATAAAATTAAAGCGCATGGAAATGATCTGAATAACAAAAGAATGAACAAGTTTGTCAAAATCAATAAACACAACCACTCTAAACATGATAACATCAAAGTCAAACAATTATTTCTAAATGAAATTTATTTATAAGTTGTTTAACAACAACGAACTAATTGAAGAACCAATTAAGAAGTATATCAAAACGATACAATTCTCAGCAGCTATTATGAGGTGGAAATCAAAATCGTATTCAAAAACATCTCATAGGCGATAAGTCTTAAATGATCCACTGGAAACTATCAAATCAAACTCATTCGAAGATACGAAACTTAGATAATTACAAAATGAACCATTAAACACTTACACAAAACTAAGCCTCAAGTATACGAAACAGCATATGTCCACGCTGCCAATTGACTCAAGAAAAAACATAAATGTGTTCAAATGTAATTCATTGAATCCTGAAATAGCCCGATTTCGCTTTGTACAAACTACAAAAAAAAAACACTTAAACTTAATGACAAATTTTAACCGGAAAAAACACAAAACAATTATATACAACATACAAGAAATTTCGTACGACCATACAACTGATAACTATTAATAATTACTTTTTGAGGAATTATATCAGATCGATAATGGGTATGGAATCATTATTGACACTATTACCATTTTCATTATTATCACTATTACAATAATAAATAGTATTATTATTCATCATCACATTAGTGTTTGTAGTGGTGATCATCGTTTATTATAATATCTATTATTTATTATAGGATTGATTGTTTATTATAAATATTAATTGTTTATAATAAACTTATTTATATAATTATTGTAAAATTATTTTTCAAAATATAATAAAAAAAAATAAATTAAACTTTTTACATGCATGATTATCATAAATAAATAAATGACACGAAGAAATTAAAAATTAAACTTATCATAATGTTTATTTACATGATCAACATAAATAAATAAAGTTTACGTGTTATTGTAAACAAACAATAATTATAAATAGATCTAAAATTTCCTTTTTTTTTGAAATTTAGATCTCTTTATTTTTTTAAAGAAAACTTATAAAATTTTAAAAAAACTTATTTGCACAAAATTTATTCAAAATGAGTTTTTCTAAAATGCCACCTCAAGTTATTAAACCTTCAAACCGACCTAACGAAGAATATACAATTCTTCAATTACTTGGAAGAGTAAATAATTTAATAATCCTTTCTTTTTTTTTCTTTTTTATAAATAAATAATAATAAACAAACATTATTTTGATTTTAAATTTTAGGGCAGTTTTGGTATGTGTTTCCAAGTTGAGAACCAAGATGGAGAAATTTTTGCCTTGAAAGTCATTGAAAAACAAGCATTGGGGCAAAACTATGACGAGGTAAAAATTATTTAAATTTAATAAATTTTATTTTTTAATTATTAAATTAATTATGAAAGTTAATCATTATTTTTTATATAGGTTCTTAACGAAACAAATATCCACAACAAATTAAAACACCCACATATCGTCAATCTTTATGATGTATTTGACGATACTGACTTCGTTTATTTTAAAATGGAGCTTTGCTCCAATCAAGTAAGGAATATTTATTGTTTATTGTTTTATTATTTCATAAAATTAGATAACATATAGAAAAATTAAATATTATATTAAATAATATTATATTAAATTCAATAGTCCCTTTTCGAAATGGTGAGAGATCGAGGGGAATTGACAGAATCCGAAGTTAGATTATATATGCTACAATTGATAGATGCCGTGGGTTATATGCATGATAATAATATCATGCATAGGGATCTCAAACCTGAAAATATTTTCTTATCTGATAATTTGGATATAAAAATTGGGGACTTTGGGTTATCGACTGAATTAGATCCGGCAGGTGGACGACAAAGGTAAATAATTTATGATTTTTCAATTAATTAATAATAGAAATTATATTAATATAAATTATCAATAATATTAATATTAATATTTTATCATTATAGAACCGCCTGTGGAACTTTATCTCATATGGCACCAGAAATTTTAACACCCGAAGTTGGCTACAGGTTCGAAGCTGATGTATGGGCAATTGGTGTTATCATGTAAGAGAAAAATTTCTATATAATTTATTTTCATTATTAAATAATTAACAAAATTATTAATAAATGATATTATTATTATTATTATCTAATAATAGGTACATCATGCTCTTCGGACAAAGACCATTTAGTGGACATACACAATCAATGGTCATTGAGTAAGTAAATTTATTAATTTATTATATTAAATTAATAATAGATATTAATTATTTATAAAAAATTATTTTAAAAATTTTCTAGCCGAATTTTGAATGCCGATTTTGAGTTCCCTAGTGACATTGAAGTGTCACATACTGCAAAAAATCTTATTTCGGGAATACTCAATCCTGAGTATGGTGCGTATTAAAATATTATATAAATTATATATAGTTAAATTATTTTATTAATTATTAATTAATTTATTAATTTTTACTTAATTATTAGGTTCCCGTCTCACACTATCAGAAATCCGACGACATTTCTTTTTCCGAGGACCAACACCCATCCAACTACCGATTTCCGCTCTCCGAACCGCTCCGAATTTTGACGTTATTTCCAAATCTGAAGTGTGGGCCCATATTCGCAAGGACCATCCCATTGTTACCGAATCCGAAATCCGTGAATTTATATTTGGGTCCTTGTAATTTGCAGGTTAGTATAAATTGCATGAATTATGTAGATTCTTTTTTTTAATAATTATCTTAACAAGCTTTATCAATAGTAATATGAACTCTTAATCCCCAATCAAATACCAAAACTGCTACGGGGATGATGATGATAATACCAACGACCAACGATGATCAAGAGAAGATGAGGATACCAACGACCAACGAATAATCAAGAGAAGATGATGATACCAACGACCAACGATGATCAAGAGAAGATGATGACGAATTTTTTTGACGATATGATTTAGGTAGCTTAGACTGATATTTTGGAGATGAGATTTGGATAGTTTAGATTGGTTTTTTGGAGATATATTTAGATAGTTTAGATTAGCTTTTTGGAGATGAAATTTAGATAGTTTAGATTAGCTTTTTGAAGATGAGATTTTGATGGTTTAGATTAGTTTTTTGGAGATGAGATTTTGATAGTTTAGATTAGTTTTTTGGAGATGTGATTTAGGCAGTTTTAGTTTATGCACTTTATTTATTTTTGAAATTATCAGTTAATAGTTAGTAGTTATTAGAATAGTTTTCGATCAATTTTTAGGATTAGTTTAGGATAGTTACTTTTATTATAATTATTTGCTAAAATTATTAATTGTTATCTTATTTCATTTGATATGTACAGATATTTCAATATTTTAATATTTCAATAAAGTGCAGTGGGGGGTGCCCCACTCTAAATATTTACACCCGATTGAAATTATATAAAATTAAATTCATGCCTACTCTGTGATTTTACCTCTTATAATAATTTATAAATGTTATTATCTTCTTGATAGCACATCTTTTGTTTATATTTTGATGGTCGAACTTGCAATTAGAAATAACATTTAAAATGTAAATTCTATTATACGTGTCATACTGGTGATTATAATCATGCGTATGGTGACCTTTTAACAAAAATTATAAAGCGGTATTGGATTTTTAGGGGAAGAATTAAGAAATATCTTGATTAGAAACGGTATTGTTATTGATTAATCTATCGAATGTACAGCAAATAATTTTAATAATTTTTGTTTTTTATGTTGAAATATTTTTAAAAAATTTCAGATTTTATATGAAACTTTTTATACATTTTATATTAATAAAATTATTAAAAATTGTTTTGAGCGTTAACTTTGTATTACCTTTATACCTTTATTAAAGTTATATATGAATACATGATTACAAAATAAACAATAATAACCGCGCATTCACAAAAATTTAGTAATTAATAAATTCATTTGGTAAATTATTTTCACTTTCTAATAGTCCCAGCCATTCGATAATACTCCAATCCATTTCGTGATTTCCAAAAAAAAAAGTTTAAATATCATCTGCAAAATTTAAACTTCAACTTAATTCTTGAATATGATTAATTACTATCTGTTGATTGACTTAGGGATACAAGCTTATGAATCACGTCATATGTTTTTTATATGCCATGAATTATATTCTAAAGTCTGCACCCACCTCTGTGATTAACCTTTAAAAATTTCTACCACATTACTAATATCATTAAATTGACCTATTATACATTTTATAAAAACTTTGACTCGCCTTCCCTATATCTATTGAACTTTTTTTTTGTCTGTTGCTGATGAATCTTGATATTTTAAAGTATTCGTATTCGTCTATCTAAAAAAATCTAAAATATTACTCCCATCAGATATACTGTACTACTGTATATATTCTATTAATAAAATTGCATATATCATGTCACATTTTTATTCAATTAACAATATCGTTGATAATATCTCTTAAAATAATACTTTTTTCAGCCATTAATAACAAAAAAAACGGAAGAAAAGAATAAAGAATGAAACTAAATCAATAAAATAATAAAAATAAAATAACATGACTTCAAATAATATCTGCAATACCAACTTTTTGTGTTAAATTTTTTTTATGCCAAATAGCCACGACATAATTGTTAAGCTTAATTATATATTTATTGTCTATACCAAATTTAATATTTCCCAAACGAAATATTTTGAAAAAAAGAAACATGAAACATAATATCAATATTATGTTATTCACATTAAAGCTTAGACGACTACAAATGACGTATTAAGTAATGTAATTAATGTTTATTTTTTTTTTACCACATATAATAAACCACTGTTTAAGCGAAATTAATTGATTTTTCATGCAATCATTGATTTTCCTTTTTTTCTCTTTTTCCTCATAGGTAAAGATTCTGGGTTTTAGGATTACAGATTGAAGATTAAGATAGCAGGTATCAAAGAATGATATGATACACACTACTACCAATAGTAATGCTTATTCCTCATCTTCTAGCACAGCTATGGTTACTGGAACAATTAGGTTGCAAGAAATTGAAAAACTCAATATATCATAACTTTATTAATAGTTTTTTCTATTATTCTTAAAGTCATGAATTCTAATTCCAAGTCGAATTACGTTTTTAGGTAAGAAACATTAATTATTAAATTTATTAATATTTATTTTTTTTTTTGTTGTCGTCATTTTTTATTTAAATTTTATAGTTCATTTATTGGAAACATCATAGGATAATGATACGAAATAATTATTACCGTTTGTATAATATTCACATTAGATTGTAATTTCTAGGGTTACACATTATAATTCAATAATCAAAGAATAATTAATGATAATTTTATTATGATCACTATTAAGATTATTACGATTATTGTTCATTTTTTTCATTCATTTAAGTATGGTTCTTCATCACACGAAATTTTTGATTATAAATCATCTTAATTTTAAATTTTATCGTAATGTGATAATTTTAATCAATAGATTATTACGAGTAGTAGACAATGCATAATAAAAAATACCAATCTATTTAATGACTTTATTATAAAATAGATTTTATTATCATCACTGAATAGTTAGTGTATATAAAATAAAAAGAATGATATATTCATAGTACATTTGGAATTTGGAATTATTATTTTTAATAATCTTTAATACTTCATAATCCACAATGGAAAATTTTTCATTAGTTGTTCTAATGGATCTTTCATAATAAGTACAAATAGGATCATAAATACACTGACATTGTTTATCTTTAGTAAAATCAGAAATACTTAATAGCATTGAAAATTCACTATTACCAAAACTTGAACTATAAGCCTTTTGACTATCAGGACCAAAATAATATAGAGCCATTTTCAAATTGTCTTAATTTGGCCGATCAGTAGTACAAAAATTACTGTGACTACTGCGACTAAAAAATGATAATCTATTGCCACACTTGTGCAGAGTATTTCGAATAATTTCTCAAATCAGTCTCAAAGTTTGCATCACAAAAACATAATAATATGCTCTATCTGCCAGTAGGTCACATCTAATACAATTGATTTAACTGGCCTATCTCAAAACAGATAATGAATATATAATAAATAATAATAATAATCAAATAATAATCAATTAATCATGAAGGCACAGTGAATAAGGTGAAGTAAAAGCAATTAATACAGTATCAAACAATATTTAATAATATTTCACAATATTATGACACAAGATATAAGTTTATTTAAATATAAAATATAAAGTTTTTAAAAGTAAAGTATAATTCAGCAACAGAAATATTATCATGTGTTAGGATGTCTATTTTACCATCCCTGAATTAAATTTACTTTTCTATTAAATGATAATTAAAATATTTTGATATATTCTGTTATACTAAGTAATAATTAATTAACTAACTGGTACAATCTGAACTTCTAAGATTTACATCCAACAACAGTCATATTTATATTTTCTCTTTTATTTACACTTTATCCTTCATCCTTTATACTTTATCCTCCATCCTTTGTGCATCCTTCATCCTTCATCCTTCATCTTTGTACTTCATTCTTCATCCTCATATGGTCATCTTACCTGGGATAACAATTACCTGAATGTTCATCTAGTGTCACAAATTATCATCCCCCATGATATTTTATCTGATTACTAATTTGTGTTGCCACACTATAATAAAAATTTGTCAAATCAATGAGCAAATCAGTTTTTATAATTAATTATAATACCCCACATGTTTACATACACACTTACAGAGTTTGAAAAATAAGATACATGAACTTTACCCCTTGATTACAAAGATTAAAATTCTGATTTCAAAAGACTACTAAGATTATTAAAAAAGCCACATCCATATAGTGAAGATTTACGTTGGAGAGTAGTTTATTTAGAAAGTGAAAATTATAATAATCATGAAATTGTTAAACTTTTATCTATTAGTATACCTACTGTCCATTATATTCTTAAAACTTTTTCAAAATGGGATTGTGTAATAAATCCATTCAAAGAAATATTGGGACATAAGAAAAAATTTTCAAGAATAGAATTACAAATACTTCAACAGTTGGTAAAAGAAAAAGTTAACTGGTATTTAAATAAGCTTTTAGTAAAAATGGAAAATCAAACTGGAAAAAACCATATAACTATATTTTATTAGTTTAATTTTATATTTTATTAATATATATTATATAGGAAACTATTAGCATAAATCATTTAGAAATTGGTACAACTATTAGATATTACGACTGTAGATCTGAGCGTAATCAACAGTGTAATGAACAGCATATTCAATAGTGTAATCAATAGTGTAATAGATAGCATAGTAGAAAGTGTAGTTAATAGTGTATACATTAGCATAATTAATAGTGTATATATTAGTGTAGTCTACAGTGTAATCTATTATAACTTCAATTATATATATAAAGGATTGAATTTCCCTATACTCAGTCTTCAGTTAGTCCAGTTTAGTTCAGTTCCAGTTCCAATCAGTTCCAATTCAATTCTTGTTAATAAAATACTTTGTGATTTGTCTTATAAATAATACTTGTGTAGATTATTATTTATACCATTGTAATTTCTTAGAGAAATTCTGTATTATTCTTTGGTAAAATACTGAAACCGTTGTTGAATTATATCT